TGGTGTGTCTGTGTGTTCATGGTGTATCTGTGTGTGGTGTATCTGTGTGTTTATGGTGTATCTGTGTGTGGTGTGGTGTATCTGCATGTGGTGTGGTGTGTCTGTGTACTGTGGAGTATCTGTGTATGTGTGACATGTGCCTGTGTGCGCTTTGTCTTTCTGAAAGAGTCTGTGTGTGCACCTGTGTATTGACTGAGAATCCATGCTCTCTCTCTTACAGAAGCTCACACACAATGACACAGCTGCCCAGCACAGAGGAAGCTCGTGTCTCCTGCCTTCCCACCCGGTGCTCAGAGGGAAGGTGCTGGCCAAGAGGGGTGTCAACTTGGAGTCGTTTGGAAAGGTCTCCTGTGTCCCCCTCAGTAGCTTCCCCTCTTTAGCACCTGGTGCTCAGTACCTTTCCTGTGAGAATCACCACATTCATTGTAGCCCCAGGGTGAGCACCTGGGAACAGAGGGATACCACATTTGTTTCCTGCAAACCTAGCAGGGACCCAGTGACGTCAAGTCAATGAGGACTCGGAAGGACACCGTGGGACAGAGGAGAACTGCTTCCTAGGGGTTCTGAGGCTGTAAGTCTTTATGGGAGCAGTCTCGTCTTTCTTTCTCCCTCAGAGTGGTCGTTGAGTCTGAATCACACTGACCTTATTGTCAGTAGTCCAATGCTTAACCCACTATGTCACTTAAGCCCAAACCCAAACCCACTGCCAATGAGTTAATGCCGGCTCCTAGTGATCCTTTAGGGCAGAGGAGAACTTCCTCATGGGGTTTCTGGGACTGTAAATCTTTACTGGCACACAGTCCCTCATCCTTCTCCCTCAGAGCACCTAGAGGTGGTGGGTTTGACCCCTGACTCGGGTATCAGTTCAACACTTACCCCCCTGAACCACCTAGAGGCTGAGAAATGTCTATGAAATGAACATTGGGAAATAACAAATTCAAGGCTGAGGGAGAGGTGACCCAGATAAAACTCCATCCAAGGGAGAACTCAGCAGGAAGCGCATTGTGGAATGAAGGAGGGGGGCTGCTGATTAGGGTTCAGAGGACCCCCAGACTCCCACCTCTGACTGGCCCGTTCCATGCAAATGTGAGTAACAGCAAGGCACCTGGGACAAGACCCTTTCTCCCATCCATGCTGTGCCCAGGTAAGTGCTCACTGCTTATCTGTCTGCTGCCCCCCTCTGCCCCACCCCCAGGCTGGCTCAGCATCCTCTGTCTATATCCACCCAAGGGGAGCAAGGCCTGGCTCCCAGTGACCAGGGAGGACAGGGCCCGGAGGGGGTAGAAAAGGTTTGGTGGCCAAGGAGAAGGTGCTTTGAAAAACGAAGTGGAGACAGACTCCCCACCTTCCTCTTTCTCTACCTTTACATGGATTCCCAACAGCACCAAGGTCCTGGGGGTGGAAGGGGGATGAGTGGAATGGGATGGCCTTCTGTCTAACAATGATACCACTTTGTCACACCAAGATGTCATCAGCCAAACATGTACTCAGCCCCCACCCTCCCAGGCCTGGGGGGGAGAGGTGGGTGGCTGCTGGGAGAGACGGAAGCTCAAACTCACAGGAGGAACACTAAGCCCCCCCTCCCACCCCCCAGGAGCCTTCAGACAAAGGCAGGCGTGGGCTTCTGGGGATGGATCGAGCCCCGACACCCTGGCAGTGACAACAGGTCCATTACAAGCCCACTCTGGTGTCAGAGGGGAAACCCATGGAAGACCCCCGGGTCTTGTCTTCCCTTCTCTTCAGCTCCATGGTGGAGTGGGGGTATTTTCAGAGGTAGAAGCTCCATGTACGTGCAAGTCCCTGGGGCTTGACGCTAAAGCTGCTCCAGCTCCCGGCGCTGGCCTGGGAGAGGGGCCACGGGTCAGTCAGCAAGTCCAATACAGCATGTGGCCAGGGGCTAGTGGATCTGCCTCATAAGGACTCAGAAGAAAACTCCAGCTAGGTGAAGACTTCTGTCCCCCTTAGAGCCTAGGGGAGAGGGGCCTTGGCTTAGTCTAAGGATGTAGTGGACAATGATGACCACTTTGGCATTTCTTCTGTAGCTACTGAAGAGTACTGGCGGCACAGTGGGCTAAGCATTGGGCTGCTAACCAGGTTGGCAGTTCGACCCTACCCGCTGCTCCTGTAAAGATCTACAGCCTTCAAACTCCTCAGGGCAGTTCTACCGGGTCCTGTGGGTCCCTAGGAGTAGGAATTGACTTGGCCACAGCATAGTTGGTAGCTATTAGCCCCTCTATTACATCCATCCACCCATCCTCTGTCCATTCGCACAACCCAGGTGTTTCTTCGGAGACACCTCCAGGCCGGGGGACAGAGGTATGTTAGCATCTCCTAAATTAGCAACCCTACACGAGGGGCGAAACCAGTAGGGTCACTGGGCCCAGCAGGGCGGCCGGGCTTCCCTGTGGCTTGGAATCTCAGGCATCGCGGGCACCTGGGTCTGGGCGGAGATCGGGCCTTGCACGCGCGCACAGTCGGCCCTCTGGGCGCCGGCCGGGCCCTTACCTCTGCTGCTGCCTCAGGTGCTCCTCGTCGCGGCTCTGCGTCCACGCCTCGCGGCTCTGCACCCACCCGCGGAGCTTGCCCCACAAGCGGAGCAGCAGTCCTGCGTCCTGGGCGCCCATCCTCATGGGGCGTGGGGCCGGCTCCGGGGGGCGCTGAGGCCGGGGCCGTTCCCCGCCGGCGCCCCCCAGGCCCAGCCCACCTTGGCCCTGCAGAGGTCCCGTTCCGCCGCGTGTCCCACGAGGGACAGACTCGGGTGTCCCGGCAGGAACTGGGGCCTCTAGGAGCTCGGGAGCTGGGCACTCCCTCCTTTTCCTCCTCCCAAATTACCTGCGATTAAAGAGACAGGCGCGCACCTGGCCGCAGCCTTGCGCAAACGTGCCCGCCCTTCTCCCTGCCCCCAGGCCACTTCGCGGATGGCGCGTCCGCCCCGACTTCAGGACAACCTGTGACCTTTCTTAGAAAGGCCCGGGCAGGTCAGGCAAGCCGGAAGGACTGGAGGGGGGGCGGTGGAAAAGCGCTGCGGAAGAGGACCCGCGTCTGTCTCTAGGGCTGCCTACCGGCCCTCCTTCTCTCCCCTCGAAAAGGTGTGCAAATAGGGGGCTTATTAGCCCTCCTGAAAGCCCCTTACCTCTCCCAGCTCAGGAGCAAGGGTCACTAGGTTGTGTCCCAGGGACCAGAACAGACCGTGTAAACATGTTACATCTGCTGGCCGGAGGTCCTGCGTTCACTCCTAGTTTACAACTCTGGAAACCCTGAGAAGGGATAATCTGCAGGTACACGTGTCTTACTTGCCGGCTGCAAACCTTGCTTAGAGTATTGGGAAATTGGGGGTGTCCTCCCCAGGACCACGTGGTTCTCCCCAAGAAAGCCAGGTCACCCCGTTAAGTTGGAAGCTCAGGCATACAGCAAGGCATTATTTCATAAACATAGCATTCGTTTAGCAAACACTGCAGGTATGGGTTGTTCTGTGGCCTTGAGCTAGGCCAGGGTCCAGACCCTCACCAAATATCTCACCCAGCTCACTGGGGGTCTGTGAGGACTCTGGGTGTCTGAAGCTCACCATGGGAGTGGCAGAGGCAAGGTCCCCCAGACCCTTCCTCCCTGCCATCCCCTCCTCCTCATGTTCCCTGTTTCTGAAAGTGAAGTGGTCCCACAGGGTCTCCCTGGTGGCATGGTTCAGGCCAGTCCTAGACCAAGACCGGAACTCGCCCCAGAGGGATGCAGGGGTTGGAAAGGTCTCTGTGTCAGCTGCCCCTTAGAACGATGAGAAAAGTTGAGGCCCTGGCTGATCCTCCATCTCCCACTGCAGTGCTCGGTGTTGGACTGTGTGTGTGTGTGGGGGGGGGGGGGGGGGTGCACAGTGTGCTCCGTAGTATGTAGTATGTAGGTGATGTGTGGTGTTTGTGTATATGTGGGGTGTATGTGGGGTGCATGTATGGTGTGTAGGTGTGTGGTGTGGTGTTTGTGATACATGTGATATTTGTTTTGGAGTGTGCGAGTGGTGTATGGTGTGTGTATTTGCGATATGTGGTGTATCTTGGTGTGTGTGGTGTATCTCTAGTGTTTATCTGTGGTGTGTGGTGTGTGTCTGTGATGTGTGTGGTGTGTCTGCGCCTGGTATTGTGTGTATCTGTGGTGTGTGTGGTGTGTATCTGTGGTGTGTGTAGTGTGTCTGTCTGTATGTGGTGTGTCTGTGTGGTATTGTGTTGTGTGTATCTGTGGTGTGTGTGGTGTATGTGCAGTTGTGTATGCACACCAGAGGGGACCTGTGGTGCTGGATAGCGTGTCTTGCAGGTGGAGGGTAGGTGCCACTTTCCTCTGGAGCGCTTCCCTTCCCTCCCCAGGGATCAGCGGGTGCAGAGGAGGGCGTTAGAACCCATACCTTGAACCTGGGACCTTTGCGCCCATTAGCTTGTTTGTCGACCCACCCAGCTTCTCAGCGGCTCTGTCTCTGCAGAGACCCCACTGGGGAAGGTGAGGGAGGGACAGGAACCTTGTGAGGTGGGAGGACTCATCAGACTCGCACTCTCGTCCCTCCTGGTCAGCCACAGATGGATGGAAGGCTAAAGACTCTGGGGGCCCGGGAAGGGCTGGTTTGCTGGCGGCTGACTTCTGCCAACCTGGTGTACTTGGGTGTGTGTAGAAGGCCGGGCGGGGCTGGACCCTGAGGTGCTGTCACCTCTCCAGACTACCGCTGCCCCGCACCTTCCCCCTGTCTCTCAGACCTTAAAGCCTTTCCGGTAGTTCTGTGGCGAGGTGCTGAGGGTGTCCCAGAAGGCAGCCCCTCCATAGCACTGCAGCTGAAACCAGAGAGGCATGTCCATGTGCTGGAAGACAAGAGGACTGGGTGCAAGAGTGGGGGCAGAGGGGCTCACAGTAGCTAGCCCTCCCAGAACCCCTGGTCCCATTTCCAAATTGCAGCCAACTTCTGGGACTCTGGATGCTAGTCAGGTCCCTGTCTGGGGGCGGGGGGTGAGTGGACACAAGTCAGCCCTGACCTCTCCACGGCTTCCCATCTAGCTATGGACCAATGGCCACAGGGACTGTAGGGTCGCCTGGAACAGGCTGGACCTGCCCAGACAGGACCACTCTGACCAGTTAGTTGTTCCCACGTCAGGTCAGACTGGCCCACCAGCTGGGAGGCTAACCACACCAGGTGCCACCCCATAGGGCAGGTGTCCGAAAGGCTCATCAGTGTGTGCAGCTGACAGACATGTGGGACCCACCTGGTCTGTGCCTTTAGGGACTTCTCCGCTTGCCCCTCAGTCTTTGTTTGATTAGATGGTTCTCAGGTAGGGAGACCCACACCCACACCAGCCCCACCTCCACTCTGCAGACAGAGCACCCACCCTAGTGGTGTCACACAAGAATGTCCCATCACCCAGACCCCGTGTCACTGACGTGGGGTAAATGTGTTATACAAACAAGCTCATTTATTTAGTCCCTTTAACTTTGTTCCTGTTTGAGGCTTGTTCTAGATCTTTCTGTTTTCCTTTATCTCTCTGCCCCCTTGTGAATATATATGGTGTGTTGTGTGTATAAGTTTCTAAGTTTCTGCAGTATGTGTGAATGTGGTTATGTGTGACATGGTGTGTGTGTAAGAGTGTATACGTGAATATATGTGGGTGGTGTGTGAATGTGTGTGGTGTGTGGGTGTGTGGTGTGTGAATGCATGTGGTGTGTGAATGTGTGTGGTTGTGAGTGTGTGTCAAGTGTGTGGTATATGTGGTGTGTGATGTGGAATGTGATTCTGTGTGTGTGATTTGCATGTGTGATGGTGTATATGACATATATTTGTATGGCATGTGTGGTTGTGTTGTGTGTGATGTGTATGCAGTGTGTTCTTGTGTGTGTGAACTGTGTGGTATGTAAAAGGTGTGTGGTATGTAATGTGGGTGTGTGGTAGTGTGTTTGTGACATTAGGGTGAGTGCTGTGTGTGTAATGTTAGGATATGCAGTGTGGTTGTATGTGAGCGTGCAATGTATGATTCTGTGTGTGCTGTGTGATTGTGTGTGATGTGTGATTTTGTGTATGCTGTGTGGTGGTATATGTGATGTTAGCATGTGTGATGGTTGATTGTGTGATGCCAGGATGTGCTTTGTGTGTTTGTGTGGCAGGGAATGTGGGTCTGTGTTGTGTGGTTGAGTAGTGTGTGCGCAGTTTTGTTCTGTGGTTGTGGAGTGTGGTTGTGTGGTGTGAGATTTTGTGTGTGTGTCTGGTTGTGTATGTGGAATATGGGTATATTTTTGTGTGTGTGGAGTGCGAGTGTGTGGTTGTATGTGTGGAGTACAGTTATATGGTTGTGTGTGTGGAATGCGGGTGTGTGGTTGTGTGTGTGGAGTGTGGTTGTGTGGTTGTGTGTGTGTGGAGTGGGTGTGTAGTTGTGTTTGTGGAGTGTGGGTGTGTAGAGTCTGTGTGTGTGGAGTGGGTTTGTGGTTGTGTGTGTGTGGAGTGCGGGTGTGTAGAGTGTGTGTGTGGTTGTGTGTGTGTGTGGAGTGGGTATGTGGTGTGTGTGGTTGTGTGTGTGTGGAGTGGGTTTGTGGTTGTGTGTGTGTGGAATGTGGGTGTGTAGTGTGTGTGTGTTTGTGTGCGTGGAGTTCGGGTGTGTGGTTGTGTGTGTGGAGTGTGGGTGTATGGTTGTGTGTGTGGAGTGCAGGTGGGTAGTTGTGTGGGTGTGTAGTGTGTGTGGATTGTGGGTGTGTGGTTGTGTGTGTGTGGAGTGCAGGTGTGTAGTGTGTGTGGAGTGTGGGTGTGTGGTTGTGTGTGTGTGGAGTGGGTGTGTGGTTGTGTGGAGTGTGGGTGTGTGGTTGTGTGTGTGGAGTGCAGGTGTGTGGTCTGGGTCCCTGAGTGTTGATATCACAGGACTTAGCTCTCAGAACTTGTTTTCCTCTCCTCTATCCCTGGAGGGGGACCCGGAGAGCAGTGTTGGCTGACAGGCGTAGGCCGGGAGGGAGGTCAGGGAGGTTGGCTCATGGCTCACTCAGTTTGGAGTTTGTTCCGGTCACCCGGTTCATGAGCCCATGAGCCAGCTCATAAAGTCTGCAGAGAGGTCTTGAGGGAGGCCAGGGGTGAGAGTGTGCACAGGTGCTGTGTGTGCATGCTACTGAAGTTATGTCTGTGTACATGCAGTTACACATGCACACACACACACACACACACACACACACACGGGGTCTGAAGCAGGATGGCACCACTGCGTGTGATGTAGGCTTTGGTGTGGATTGTCACTACCCACCCACACGGTGAAATGGGGCATGGTGGCACTTCACCTTGCTCAGGTGGGGGGACCACGTCAGTCCCACTGCCTCTAAGAGAGGACATTAATCCTGCCTGCTGGTCCCCCTCCCCCATGCTGCCTTCATTTCCCACCACTGCACAACCCTGACCCTCTTAGCTTCCACCTGGGCACCTTGTCCACTACACTCCAACTCCAAACTTCTTTGTACAATTGGGAAAGGGACAACAGAAAAGTCTGGGGACCTAGGGCTGGGCTGGGAGAGGACAGTACCCTTGTAGTCCATTCCCCACCCTAGAAGATGCCTGGGCTACCAGGTGTGTGTCACACGCAGGGTATTTTATGTGAGTAGACAAGTATGTTTTAGCTATCTCTTAGAAGGCTGTGTGGATGAGCGTGCTTCTGTATCTCTGACATTTCTGTCTGTGAGTCTGCTTTCCAGTATCATCAGGACTGTCTAGATTTTTCAACCAACTCTTACCCCTTTGGAGACTTGACGCCTGCCTGATGGAGACACTGGACTTGACCCTTCCCTGATTCCATTGGCTGGTTGTCACTGTGTCCTCACCGGTCTGCCACCCCTCCCCCACCCAGCACCCACTTCTTACCCTAAAGCAGACAGTGGCTGTTTACAACTCCAACCAAAAGCAGAGCTCTTGTCCAAAACCACGGCTAGCCTCAGAAGTTTCCACAGCATTTTATACACCAAACCAAACCAGCGTCACAGTCGGTGAAATTCCTGCCCTTGGTGATGCTGAGGACAGAGCACAACTGTTTCATAGGGTTTGCAATTCTGTCGTCTTTACAGACACAGACCGCCTCATCTTTCTCCTGTGGAGTGGCTGGTGGGTTCACACCACAGGGTCAGCTTCTCACATCCCTGCTTCTTCCACAATCCCAGGTACAGGATGCCTCCATCCAGAAGGGCCTGCCCCATGTCCAATCTCTGCCCGATTCCGCCTTTGGCACAGTGGCCAGTAGAGCAGAGCTTCACCCATTTTACACACAGTCTCCTCCAAATCTGTCCATGCTTTCTTCACCGGAGCCCCCAGTGCTCGGCCACCCTGTCCATCCTGAGTGCAGGGCTATCTGTCTTGTGACCCCTCTGGCCAGGTGTGTGGGCAACAGGCTTGACTCCAGCGGGTTGGGGCATGAGCAGAGGGGCCCCGAGTTTGATGGAGCTGGGCCAGGCGGAAGGAAAATGCAGGGCATAGGAGTGACAGCATGAGGCCTGGAGCTGAGCTTCCCCTCTCCCTGGGATGGCAGCAGAAGGCTAAAGCCCTCTAGACTGGGGTTGGCTCTGGGTAGAAACTTGAGCCTGGCGGTGAGGTGGGGGCTGGGTGGTGCCCCTGCTGGCATGCAGGGAGGGACAGCTGTTGGGAAATTCCAGACCCAGGTGTTTGTGTGGCAGCTCCTAGCACTCCAACACCAGGAACTAGGAAATAAAAGGTTTATGAGGTCCTGGACCCCTACCTCTCCACCCACCACACACACCCTGGGGTCTTTGTGTTGGAGTGGCTGTAGGGTGTGGATGTGGCCTGTGGACACCTACTTTCTGGGGACAAGTGTAGGTAGGGAGCCATGCAATGCTACAGTCTTACTGTCTCCCCATTGCTGGTCCCGCACACAGTGCCTGGACCCTCCTCCCTCCTGGCTGCATTCCTGTCTTCTCCACCCTTTCCTGGCTTCCTGAAGTTCCCACTCCAAGAGCTAACTTCTGAGAGCCAGGATAGCCTGCCCAGTCATGCCGGCTCTGGGTGCCTGGTGGTCCTCTGACCAAGGTCAAAGTGCCTCCTTGGGAATACAGATGGGATTTCTGAACACATATGTCCTCTGAGGTTCAAAAGGGCCCACAGCCATGGGCTGCCGAATGACATTGAGCCCCATTCTGTGTGTGTCCTGGTCTCAGCCTTGCTACATAGCAGGTGTCCCACCCACCTAGGTCCAGGTGTGTCTGTATGTCCACAGAGGCCATGAGAAGACAGTCAGCCCTGCCCATGAGCCTACCCATGGGACCCATGACCTCAGTCACACCATCTTCCTCATCTGTGAAGTGGGTGCAGCACCAGGCCCTGTCAACTTTACAGGGTTGTTGTGAGAATACAAGGAGATAGTGGCCAGAGAGAGGTCACCTGCTGTAGCCTGCATGGTGAGATGGTGAGTTGGCTGTGTCATTGTGCCCGGCTAAGGAACCACTTCCTGATCCCGGACAGAGTCACCTGTCTCAGGCTTGGGGAAGAAGACTGGTCAAGGGCCCTGGGGACCCGGCTCAAAAGCAGGGCTCTCCATGAAGCCCGCAGCTCAGCCTCAGTCTCCTCAGTTTACGACCTGAGCAGGATCACAGTCAGCTGACCTTCTCGTAAAGCCAGGGTATCTATTAGATGAGCGGGAGGGTGAGACCCAGCCACACACACTGTGACGACGCTGCTCCCTCCCTCCTCATGCCACTCTCTGCTGCACGTGTGTCCTGGAGACCCTGGAGATCAGCCTCCCCCAAGGGCAAAGGCCCCCCACCAAACATAGGTTCTCCTCTATCTCCTGCTTCCCAGACTCTGTTCCAGGTGGAGGGCTCCACAAGGGTCCCCACCTGGCGGGAAGGTGCTGCTGCTCTTGTTAACCGCTTGTTCCCAGTAGCCCAACCCAAGTGGCATGTTCTGCAGCTCCTCAGAGCACCCCCCTCAAACCCCTGGTAGAGGAGCAGCACTGAGGTTCCTCTAAACCTCCCTTCCTTGAGGGCTCAGAGACTCAAGTGAGACCACAGGGAGCACCTGACTTGGAGTCTTGCCAACCTGGGTTTTATGAAGGATGCTTCTTGCTCGGAAGCTCCAACCTATTTAGTGGGTGCACATCCTTTCCTGGGCCCTGGGCAGAGGTGGAACAGTGAGCTCAGAGGGAGGGCCCAGAAGGTGGTAGGGACCTGTATGTGTATGTGTGTGTTGCATATGCAAGTAGTGTGCCTATGGTGTGTTTAGTGTGTATGTCTATGTATGAGTGTCTGCTGTGTCTATGGGACTTGTATGTGTGTGTATATGAGTTGTGATATGTGTGGATGTGGTATGCATGGCATGTGTTGTGTGTATATGTCTGTATGTATGACATCTATATGTAGTGTATAAATGAGTTGTGTATGTCTGTATGCATGGTGTAGGTATATAGTATAAATGTGAGTGTGTGTAATGTGTGTGGATGTCTGTATATAGTATATACATGAATGTGTGTAGTGTGTGTGTGTATGCATGGTATTTGTGAGTATGTGGTAGATACATGAACGTCTATAGTGTGTGTACGTCTGCATGTATGGTGTCTGTAGTGTATACATGAGTGTGTTTAGTGTGTGTATGTCTATATGTAGTATATATGTGACTGTGTGTATGTCTGTGTGTAGTGTATACGTGAGTGTGTGTATGTCTGTATGTAGTATATATGTGAGTATGTGTATGTCTGTATGTATGGTGTCTGTATGTAGTGTATACGTGACAGTGTGTATATCTATGCATGTTGTCTGCATGTAGTGTATATATGAGTGTGTTTAGTGTGTGTATGTCTGTATGTATGGTGTCTGTGAGTACGTGGTATATATGTGAGTGTGTGTATTGTGTGTATGTGCTGTGTGTGTGTAATGTGTGTTCTGTGTAGTATGTGTTTATGTGGCTCGTGTAGTGTGTGTATGTGGTATATGTGTGTTGTATGGTGTGCTGTGTGGATATGGCATGTGTTTGTCATGTAGTGTGTGAATGTGTGAGTGTGCGTGACTGTGTATGTGTGTTGTGTAGTGTGAACATGTCTGTGGATATGGCATGTGTGTGCTGTGTAGTGTGTTATGTGTATTTGTGTGTATGTGCTCTGTGTGTGTTGTATAGTAGTGTGTATGTGTTATGTGTGTGTGCTGTATAGTATGTATGTGGTATGTGTGATGTGTGTGGTGTATGTGGTATGTGTGGTGTGTGTGTTGTATAGTGGTGTGTATGTGTTATGTGTGTGTGCTGTATAGTATGTATGTGGTATGTGTGATGAGTGTGGTATATGTAGTATGTGTGGTGTGTGTGTTGTATAGTGGTGTGTGTGGTATGTGTGGTGTGTGTGTTGTATAGTGGTGTATATGTTGTATAGTGGCGTGTATGTGGTATGTGGTGTGTGTGTGTGTGTGTGTTGTGGCGTGTATGTGGTATGTGTGGTGTGTGTGTGTGTTGTATAGTGGTGTGTATGTGGTATGTGTATCATGAAGGAGGGATCAGTCAAGTAGCCACATTGCCCTCCTGAGGAGGCCTGGTTGCCTTGCACAGAGGTACCTACGTGCACAGACTCCCCACTCCTGCCCTATCCCAGGGTCTGAACTGCCCCATGTGGCTGGCTGGGTGCTGGGACAGAAGCCTGGGACTTGGGAATGTGTCCTGCTGACACCAGGGTCATCATGGGGGGAAAGAAACATTGAAGAGTGCGGTGTTTGTCTGGGTAGTCCTCTGTCAGAGTTGGCATGGGGAGAGGAGAGGGAAAGAACCCCTGGGCTCAGGGATTAGCCATCCTGGGGTCACCCGACCTAAGGTGGGATAGTGGCCCTAACGAGAGATCAGAGCACACCCATGGAGCCCTTCCTTCTTCTAGGCCCAGAGTTGGGCAAGTGGGGAGCAAAGAGGGGGGCAGGCTCAACTGGGGGTACAGAATATTGTAATGGCAATGCTACATGAGTCAAGGTCCCTGAGCAGAAGCCCCCATGTGGTATGCGACTGCACTGCCTCACCTTGCCAGGTGGGCAGGACAAATCCATGCAGCAGGCATCTTGGAAGTTTGCTACCTGCAATCAAGTTTTCCTGCCCCATCATCTCTTGGTGGGTCCTCTCATGGGAAGAATTGGTGACGTGTATCATGGGGGGTTGAGAGGAACAGAGTCAACCAGCACCTAGGTGGTACGAGGGCAAAGAGGTGAAGGAGGTGACGGAGAGTGCTCCTGGAGGTCAGGAAGGAGGGAGGACGACAGCCCACGGAGAAGAAGGAGAGGAACGGGAAGAAGTCTTGTGAATAGG